AGGAGTTAGAGAATGAGAGAAAGGGGAGCGGGGAATGAGAAGGACAGAAAGAAAGGGAGAGGCAGAGAAAGAGAGAAAGTCAGTGAGAGAAAAGGGAACAGGGAACAAGGAATGAGAAAGAAAAAAAGAAAGGGAGAGAGAGAGAGAGGGAGAGAGAGAGAGAGAGAGAGAGAGGGAGAGAGGGAGAGAGAGAGAGCTGTACTAAAAATAGCTCCTAAAGCTGAGATAAAATGCTAAAGCGTGAAGAGCAGATTTAAAGACAGTCTTATTCTGAATAAAGAGATCAAACATTAATCAAATGAAACACTGGAGTGTGTATTTCTGTCCATCAGGAGGGACAGTGTGTGTGTGTGTGTGTGTGTGTGTGTGTTAATCCTTCGTTAGAGAACCAAAATAACTCTTGTCTGCAATGCAGCATGGGTCACAGGTACAAAAGCATTGTGGGTAACTTGTAGCCCTCGTGTGCTACATCTCTGCCCCCTCAGGACAATCAGCCAAAAATAACACACACACTCACCAGGGCGGCAGATATGGCTGTGGACAGTAGGTCAGAGACCTGTTTGTGTTGTCATGGATACCGTGTGACCTGAAAGGTCAGTGGTTCTCCGCTTGAAGCTCTAAAAGAGCATCAGTTTAGCAAGAAGCTAAAAACCTGTACAGACAAGCAGGACTCGAAGGCCTCTACGCTACAAGAAAATGATCAGGAGCGATTTAATAGTGAGTTCTTTTAAACCTTTTTTTAATGAAACAAACTCACTGCAGCATCTTTAGGGGAATTCCACCAATTTTTCAAAATTTATTCAAAATTCAGTCAGTGAGATGCAAATGTGAGATTCAGAATGTTTGGTGTGAAATGGTTCAGATTTCTTTACAGTGGTGGTGATAGTAACCAGGGGTCGCCATGACTACAACACAAATATAGACAGTTTATTTACTATCCAAAACCACCGGTGAACCTACACGTGTCTTCTGAATTTTATATGGAATGTTGATGATGGTAAAATAGTAAACAAATAGTAAGTTTTCTTATTTTTGAGTTTACTATTTTGCCTCACAGCGCCCTGCATATTATGTATCCCTCCACCATGAATGGAGTTTAAGGCCAAAATCTTCTCAAAACTGTCATAAAACAATGTCTCAGTTGTCAGGCAGTGAATTCATAACCATTTCATGTAATAACTTTCTGTGAGGGAGCTTTTAGAGGTGGACGTCTGGTTCCTATCACCACCACTGTGAACAATTCTGACTCTGTTAGAATTGCTCTGCTAGAAGTTTCTCTAGAACAGAGCATTTCACACCAAACCACTCTGAATGACTCTGTTTACACCTTAACCACTTAATTATGTGAAATAATAAAGTGCGATTTCCCTTTAACCTGAAAAAAATAGCAACACATAACACCATATTAGGAATTACCACTTTGAATTTGTGTGTATTCATTCTCAGCAGTCGGTACCCTGCAGCTTCCTGGTTTTTATTTGTGCTTATGAGTGCTAAAGAGACTCTGAGCCGAACTTCAGTGGTTCTCTAACTCTCTAATGTTTGACTCAATGCAACTCACTTACTCACTCAGTTGTATCAGTAAGGTGAGGCAGTCTCTGCCAAGTTCCATTAAAAATAGACTCAATCTCAACTGGTGATGCTACAGCCATCCGTGGCCGGAAGTCCAAGAGAGCACAACTGGCCTCACTGGGTGGGCTAGGATGGCACCCCCTCTCCCCCATCACTCAACGAGACGCTAGTCAGCGCAGGCGTCTGTTAGCTGATGTAACAGATCTGGCGGTTGGCACCTTCCTTTGAGCGTGTTCAGCTGTCCAATGATGTTGTGTTAGCGGCAGCTCAAAAAGATGCGGCGATGCTTCACAGTTCTCAGAGGAAGCCTGTGCTAGCCTTCACCCTCCTAGCGCTGGTGGTATCGTGGGATTGGAGGGGTCCCGACTAATGGGTGGAAGAAGAAGTGCTGCTCTCTGCCTCAGTGACTGTGGCTGCCTCTTGAGCTAACAGTGTGCATTTTACAGGTTAGCTGCTGGGCTGAGGCTGAACTTCATTTGGTCATGATCACAGAAACACTCAGTTACATTAGCTGTTTTTAAAAAAATGACTTACTTGCTGCATTCAATCAAATCCTGTGCTTGTTCTTCAGCTTGTGCTAATGAAGCTAATCGCTAATTAGCTAGCTAGCTTACATTACTACAACATTTTAACTGTTTGGCACTTTAGGCTCACCTGTTTTCTCACCTGCTTTTTGCATTCTCTCTCTTTCTCTCCACTCCTCGGGTTTCAGAAATCCTGATTTTGGTTTAATTTTAACCAGGTCAGAACTGGAACAGCTGCTAACTGCTCCCGATAGCCAACAACGTCCAAGTTACATGAATGAAGGAAACAACAGGCAGACAAGTAGAACTCATAATGGAAGATGCAGCGTCATGTTATTAAATGTACTATAAAATTTCTATAATAACAGAGAGAATCAGAATTAAAAAACAAAATCAATTTATTTCCCAGGCTTTTGGAGTGCCCCTCATTCAAAGAGGGCTCTGGTTAGTCAGGTCCATCAATACTCTTGGTCCGACACCCCCGCTCATACTGAAACAGGAAGGTGAAATGGAGGATATTCCAGTCCTTTCATTAATTTTCTCATTCCATCTTATTTACACTGAGGGATCAAGTTCAGACATTTAAACTTTGGCTTAAACACATATTTTCCATGTTTGGGTAACTTTTGTTTTTTAACTTTGCATGTTGGGGCTTTACTATAAAAGTAAAGTAAACATTTGAATCCTGAAGTAAACATTTGAATTAAAATCCTGTCTTGGCCTGATAGCGAGGGCAGAATACAGTCCAGTTAGAGAGAATCTAAACTACTTTAGTAAGAAAAAAGAAAGAAGCAACATCACAGGAACAGCAACATTCCAGCTACTGTGTATGAAAAGCTAAAGTCACGTGCAAAGATTTAAAAATTAATACCAAATGCAGGAACGTTCTGGGTCCAAAATAAATGCCTCAGTGACCCGTGAGGTCAGAAACAAACGCAGCAGTGAGCGTCTCCCCGCATCACAGATAAGGAAATGGACACTGTCCCTTTCACTTCTATAAAAAAACGCCTCTAATGCAGTGAAGTAAAAGCACTTTTCACCGTCTCACTCTCTCTGGGTCACTGTTACGGCTCGCAGTAAAAGCTGAGGAAAGTTTGGGGAGTGTTTGTGTCCTCCTGCAGGGCGGAGAGATGGAGAGATGAAGGGATGGAGGAGTGGAGGGATGGAAGGATGATGAATGTAGGTTACGCTGTTCCTCTTTTCCTCTGCCTCCATTAGCCGGCAGGATACCGCATTTAAAATATACGCCTTAGAGGTAAAGATGTCTAGCATGAACCTATACGCCCTGGGCAGTGTAAGTGTGTGTGTGTATGTGTGTGTGTGTGTGTGTGTGTGTGTGTTTGTACATTATCAGGACAAAAAGTCCCGCCTTTGTAGGAAACCCAGTGAAAAACAGGGACCAGCTACATAATCCTGACTTTGTAAAGTACATTTTACAAAAGCTTTACAACTGAAAAAACAAAAACATTTTTTGGCCTCTGAGATGAATATTAGGGTTAGATTTACAAAATTCCTATTATGTAAATATTATGGGACATATTATTATCACATATTGTTTCCGTCGGAACAAAATCTCTTTATCTCCATTTTGACTGTTTTTCTATCTTTTTACATAGTTTAAAAAAAAAATGCCAGCTGCCATATATAATGTATCACAATTTTATGACAAGCAGGCCAACAGAAATGATCCAAAATAATGTAAAAAATTCATTATATTAATCTTTACTTACACTGAAAGTTCACAGTGCAAATTATTTCCTAAAGTGACTTTTAAGTCTTTACTAAAGTCTTAACAACATTATTAATACATGTAGACACTTATTAATACATAACGACACATATAGGCACTTGCACAATGCATATCGCTGCTGTCCAAAGAAAACCTCATACCTCCATTTTTGTTGTTTTTCAGTTTTTGACATAAATTAAAAATGCCTGTTGCTCTTTACATTGTGTGTAAATTTCATGAAGAATGAAAATGACCTGGCAAAAAATCCAGTTCCACTGACTTTCTTTAAAAGTAAAGTAGGTTTTTCCCTGTCCTGTAAAGTTATCATTTTGGAGACACAAGGTTTTCTTCTGACAGCATATATATTGTTTCTCTGTTTTTGGTTTATTTTAATTTGAAAACTACAGTTACCGTTTGCATTGTGTTAAAATTTCAGAACAGATCTTTTGGGGCATATTATTATTACATATAAATACATACAGATACTTCTATATATGTAAAACACATATGGGGCCTATTATCATTACTTGTGATGACTCCATGTCCTGACATTTTATAAAAACAAACCTGTGTGTGTGTGTGTGTGTTTTGGGAACAGGCCTAATTTCACACCAACTCTCCAGCACACAGATGTCCCAAGAGCAGAAAATGATGTCTGTTATCAAAGAACACAAGCAAGAGCAAAAGAAGTACTAGCACATTCGCCATTAGAGCCAAAATAAGACTATTAAACCGCAGCTGATTTTGGGTAATAGCTACAGTGTCTGTGTTTAATAAGCCAGATACAGTGAAAGAGAAAGGGAGGAGACCTGCAGACAGAGAGGCAAAGAACAAGAAAGAGAGAGCAACAAAAAGAGAAAAGCAAAATGAGAAAAATATAGAAAAAAAGAGAGACAAAGATAAATTGCCAGAAAAAGCATGTGACAGTAATAGAAAGAGTTCCTTGTCATCTCTGTATGACTATTTTCCAGCCTCTCTTTATCCCTTATAATTGAACTGGCTGTTTATGTTACTGTGTCTTTAAGACGGATATATGTAAATGAGCTCTGTTCTGATTGGATACCCTGTATTGTGTCAAAAAGCAGTCCAGGCTGAAACACTGCTTATCTCTTCAGTGTGAATGGGCGGAGCTGAACAGCCATAAGCTCGAAAAGGTGGATATGAGCCGCACTCACCCGCTGTCTGTCCTCCTCGAACACGGCCTCGTGGACGCTGCAGGCGAACAGTGCGGTGGGCAGGTCACTTAAGTCCATCATCTCTTCCGACTCTTCATCATTCTCCCCAAACACCATCTCCTCTCCATCCTCCTCTTCCTCAGGGTCACTGCTGAGGGCCTCCGAGCCGTTACTGAGCCACTTCCCCCCTGCACGCATCATCATCCACCTGCCCCGCCCAGCAGGGGGCGCCACTGTCAATACAGCTCAGCTTTCTACACAGGAGGAAGGGGGAGAGTCCAGAGAGGAGAGGGGGGGGAGAGCAGAGAGGAGAAGAAAAGAGAAGAGAAGAGAAGAGAAGAGAAGAGAAGAGAAGAGAAGAGAAATGAGGAAAGAGAAGAGAAGAGAAGAGAAGACGAGAAAAGTAAAAGGAGGAAAGAAGAGAAACTTTTAAAGCAATAGTTTAAAGAGATCCTTACACTGGAAATACTAGGCTAATACACCTAACACACAGTGGAAGCTTATACCCCACCAATTTGCCTGGTGCTGACTGTATTCTATTTTACTACAATTATTCTATTATGATACTGTCATTTAAAAAACGGACAAACATTCACTGCACAGCTAAACACAGACTGAAGCTTGAATTTAGTCTGGATTTTAGCCCATTTTCATAGACCCAGAGCTATCGCTTTAAACTTTCCTAAAGCATACGGGCCTGGGTTAAGAGGATCCTCTATTTTATGGTGATGGACACAGAGCTGATCTTAGATCAGTATGTCTACTGATATCCTTTAGGCTAAAAGGCTAAAAAAGAGCTGAATCAGGTGCAGCAGAGCAGAGAAAATGCTCCTTCTGGAGATAAATCAGGTTTGTTAGAGCAGGAAAACATGAACCTGTGCAGTGCAAGTGGACCACATCACTGGAGCTGGACAGCAGTGGCCTAGTTCAGAGTTCAGAGCCTGAACGCTACCGCCATCTAGTGTTTAAGAACTGAAGACCATGAGCTGTCACTCAAACATTTTCAGCAAAGTTTCTTTAACAACTAAATAGCAGCGGACGGTATGGCGAAAAGAATTCAGAATAATTTAAAGCCCTTTGATTTTCAGGAAAACTAGGATCTCTAACAACAAATATATATATATATATATATATATATATATATATATATGTATATATATGTACTTTGTTAGCCCCCTTTTACCCTGTTCTTCAGTGGTCGGGACCCCCCATGGACCCTCACAGAGCAGGTATTATTTGGGTGGTGGATCATTCTCAGCACTGCAGTAACACTGATGTGGTGGTGTGTTAGTGTATGTTGCGCTGGTCTTTGTGGATCAGACACAGCAGAGCTGCTGGAGTTTTTAAACACCTCAGTGTCACTGCTGGACTGAGAACCAAAACATCCAGCCAACAGCGTCCTGTAGGCAGCGTCCTGTGACCACTGATGAAGGACTAGAGGATGACCAACACAAACTGTGCAGCAGCAGATGAGCTATCATCTCTGACTTTACATCTACAAGGTGGACTGACAAGGTAGGAGTCTCTAATAGAGGGGACCGTGAGTGGACACAGTGTTTAAAAACTCCAGCAGCACTGCTGTGTCTGATCCACTCGTACCAGCACAACACACACTAACACACCACCACCACGTCAGTGTTACTGCAGTACTGAGAATGACCCAAAATCCAAATAGTACCTGCTCTGTGAGGGTACATGGGGGTCCTGACCACTGAAGAACAGGGTAAAAGGGGGCTAACAAAGTATGCAGAGAAACAGATGGACTACAGTCTGTAATTGTAGAACTACAAAGTGCACCTATAGAGTAAGTGGAGCTGATAAAATGGACAATGAGCGTAGAAACAAGGTCATAATGTTATGCCTGATCGGTGTATATATAGATAAAGCCCTTTAAGATAGACTTAAGATGTTTTTTTTACTTTTCACAGCACTCCTTAAATTCTAAAATCTTAAACTGCCCATCACAACTTTTTTGGAACATACTGCAGGCGTCAGTTTCAGAGTGACAGTATATTTGCGAAAAACAAAGAAGTTGACATGGAAAAATTATTAGCATTACAAGGCCTTTCAGGATAACTATAAGCCTTTTAGAATAACGATAAGGTCTTTCAGGATAACTACAAGATCTTTCACAGTAACTTCAAGGCTCTTTAGGATTACTAAAAGAGCTTCCACGACAACTACAAGCACTTCAGGACAGCTAGAAGCCCTTTCAGGACAACCATAGGCCTTTCAGGATCAGCCAACTGCCTTTCAGGAAAACTATCAAACCCCTCTTCGAACTTTAAATCCTTTTAGGATAACTACAAGGGCTTTCAGTTTGTCTTTTAGGATATAAAAATAAAGGCTTTTGGAATAACCATAAAGCTTTGCCCCACTGAACTATCTACAGCCTGTTTATTGTTGAACTCCTTTTCCCATGAGCCTTTTGGACAGGCCCAGCTTGTTAAATCCCTTTGGCCAAACACAGTTCAAAGCAGTAAGGGCCTGTTACATATAACATCGGTGTGAAAGAAGAGAACAACACACATTCTGTTTGTTGCAGAGAAAATAGTTACATTCATTCATTTTATGCAGCTTTAAATTAAACGTCTGAATGAAGCCAACATGTGCAACAACGCCATCTAGCGGCCAACAGGCAATAACGTTACTTAACTAGCAATGTGGTCTTATTATAGAAAACAGTGCTTTACTTCGTCAGAAAATGACCTGGTGTATGCATATATGCATAAACTAGTGATTTAATATGTGATATTTGCTGTATTAAACGTTATATTTGTGTTTACACAGCGCAACTATTAGAGAAACAAGCGGAGGAATTAATCTATAGAGGCTTCACTGCAGTTTTCACCTTATGAAATAAAAATGCTGATAAAAGGTCGTTTTAGCCATACTTTTTTACAGAAAGTCGCTTTGAAAAAACAGAGACTGAAGTTGGCTTCTTCTTCGAATTTCCCGTTCCACCTTAAATGATGCAGCAGTTACATTCTGGCGCCCGAGCGCCTGATTGTAACTGCTGCACCATTTAAGGTGGAACGGAAAATTCGAAGAAGAAGCTGGCGAATAAGAAGAAAACTTAATAACCTGACATTACCGTAGTTTCCGCGGAGTCAGAAGTGAAATCCCCCCGCTGGACAGGTCAGCTCTCCCTCAGACTGTCCGAATCTGAACCTGAACCTCAGTCCGAGCCTGAGCTGCCTGTCAGCCGTCCATCTTTCAGCTCAGATAGTCAGAGAGGATTCAGCAGCTCTGTGTTCACCGGCCGCGAGTAGCGACCAATCAAAGGCGAAGCTGTCATTGCGCCAGCCAATGGGGTTCGAGATTGCGGGACCGTTCTACTATTCCAGCCAATGGCGTTGGAGTAAACATACGCGCCCTGTGTGGTGAAAGCGTGAGCGATCTGAACAGAAGCACTACAAACTGAAGGTTTATAACTTAGAGACGAATTTAAACGATTTTCCAAAAGCGTAATTCTGTTATTGAGATGTAAACAGAGTCGTTTAAAGTGGTTTGGTGTGAAATGGTTAATTAACCAGCTGAAAAGGGACTAAAACCTAATGGTTTTGCCTTATAATGGGAAGTAGCTTAATGATTTCCAATACAGATCACTAGTTTTCTTTAGATCCCTTTAGGAATCGATCAGTGTAGAGACTCATTTCTTTACAGTGGTATTGATAGGAACCAAATGTCACAAATATAGACATTTTATTTACTATCCAAAACCACTACATGTGTCATCTGAGTTATTATATGTATGTTAAAGATGGTAAAATCTGAAGTAAGTTTTCTTTGGGGACTATTTTTCCTCATGCCCCATATGTATCCCTCCACCATCAATGGATTTCAAGGCCAAAATCTTCTCAAAACTATCGTAAAACAACATGTCAGATATCAGGCAGCGTATTCATAACCATTTCATGTAATAACTTGCTGTAAGGGAGTTTTTAGAGGTGGACGTCTGGTTCCTATCACCACCACTGTGAACAATTCTGACTCGGTACGTTTCTCTAGAACAGAGCATTTCACACCAAACCACTCTGAATGAAATAATTATGCAGAAAATGTGGTAGAATTTCCCTTTAATTACTATTGACAAGACTGTACAGTGTAACATGTATCCTCCCCAAAGCACTTGTAGTTCCTCCCACCTTCAGGATGCATTATCAGAAGGGAAGTCTTTAAACTGGAGAATCTCCCTCAAGAGAGTACTGCAGCAGATGTAGGTGTAGAAATGGTTACGTTTTTTATTTTGGTGGTCCATTAAATTCAAAAACTTGTGCACACAGAGTACATCGAGAAACAAACCCCTACAAATCTCACTTTGGCAAAGGCCTCAATCCTGCATCGCTAAATTTAGAGGACAATACCTCATCAACAAGCATGTGACAGCATTGTGTGTATGTGAGAATGCCCTTCTCCTAACGGGATCGTCCTGTGCCAGTCCAAAGCTGACAGCAGGGTCGGAGGTCACAGTGCGCAGGCGTTCTCATTTAACTAATGCCAGTGGCTGAGGGCCCAGACTTTAATCACTGCTCTGATCTCCACCCAGGAAAATACCTGCTGCCTGACGCCATGGTTGGATGTACTGTCACACACACACACACACACACGGTCTCTTGATTACACTGCATCTGAAGTGCCTGCAATCTACACACATCATTAAAGTAATTAAAAACAAGTCCAGCCACTTCAAATACTCACATCTCTTGTAGCATAAAGACGTTATATAACTGAGCTCTGGTGTAGTGAAAATAGCATTGAGCTGTATACATGTGGCTAGTCTTGCATGCTAAGTTTATGCTCGTGTGTGTAGCGGTACGGCCGAACATGTTGTATTCAGACAAAAGAGGAAGATATTACCCTGTGATAAGAATTTAGCAGTGGCAACCCTTGACTTTTAGAGCTAGGCCTTCAAATCGGCCCTAAATGTCAAAACACAAAGAAAAAAACTTCTGCTAGCATCCCTATAGGATTGTAGTAGTCAGTTATCACTAAGCTAATGCTGATTCACTTTAACACAGAAGCATCTGAAAGACATTTGTTGTTTTAGTTGAAGCTTGTAAAATGACATATTAGCATACACCGATCAGGCATAACTACAATTATATTATTTTATTTTATATTAATTTATATAATTATTATAATTATGGCCACCTCCTTGTTTCTATGCTCATTGTCCATTTTATCAGCTCCACTTACTATATAGGCACTTTGTAGTTCTACAGTTACAGACTGTAGTCCATCTGTTTCTCTGCATACTTTGTTAGCCCCCTTTTACCCTGTTCTTCAGTGGTCAGGACCCCCATGTACCCTCACAGAGCAGTTACTATTTGGGTAGTGGGTCATTCTCAGGACTGTAGTAACACTGACGTGGTGGTGGCAAAAAATGTAATATAAATGAAAACGCAGACTTATTTTGCTCTGCTTTAAGCTTTAGTTCAGCTATAGCCGCTTTTCTTGCATCTCCGACAGGAAACTTTTCACTTTTCAGCAAATGTAGAATAGTTTATTGTAAAATGTCTCTTGAATGAGAATCTGACTTCAGCTTCACGGCTTTTTAGTGTTTGACATTTTCTCGCTGCAGATTAAACGTATCAGGAAACCAGCTGGAGTGATTATAAATGCAAATAAGCCCATTTGTCTCTGAATTATGAATGTCTTAAATCTTTCCCTTTGCCTTTTCGTTAGCTACTAGCTAAGCGAGATTGTTGTCTGTGTTGCTATGGTGACTACCAGTTTGTGTGCCAATCTATAGGGTTAAATGTTGGTGACTTAGCAGTTCTACATTAACTCTGCATTACATTCACTGTGTGATCTTCATGACAGTCACATGAAACATGGGGAAGTGTCAAGTGGTTTATTTCTCAATGAAGGAAAAGAAAATCATAATAAGCAAATTTGTAAAAAGTGAAGCATTTATAACGGCCACTGTATTAATGCTTACAGGAGTAACGACCGCTTTATATTCTTCATATCTGTGCAGTACCGTTTGGTACCACTGGAAAGTGATATTTGTCACAGGACTGATGCCAGAAACACCACAAACAAAGGAAAGATCCATCTACATCAGAAGCCTGTCCCCGATTGGTCAGGTCCATAAGCTCTTTACAATCTGTGATCCCAAATTCAACCGGCCCTGGAGCGGGTTAGACATGCAACATGGTGATGTAGCCTGCTAAAAAGTGATCCACCATTGTGAGACAAAAAAAAAATCCAGTGTTAGCTTGAACTAAGCTTAAAGTTAGCTCGCTAAGCTTCGCAAGACTCAAATCACAAGGCAAACTGTAAGCCTTTCTTGAGGCGAATAAGGTTTGTAACAAGCAAATAGTAAATGTGGAGTTTTACAGCATCAGGACATAAAAATATAATATTTCTTGTCAGTATTTTTGAGCATGAAATCCATGCGTTTTTATCCACAGCAGATGGTAAACACAGGCACTGTGAAAGTTGACACCACAGACAAATAAGGCACAAAGAAGGCAAAGAAAAGACATGGAAAAAGAAAAAATATGTGCATATGTGCAATCGCATATCAGCCCTCACGGTCTAAAAACAACAAGAAAAAAAACGAGTATCTCCAAAATAGTAACCTTTACAAGAGAGGGCAAAACATTAATTCTTAAAGCAAATGCATGTAGAAAGATTTTATTCCAAGTCGTTTTAAAGCACTTCTATTGGTCTGTTCATCGTGAAATGTTCACGCAGTTGCTGTGTTTGAATAATGTTAAATAATAAAAAAAGAAAAAAAAATTTCTTACATCTGTGCAAATATTCTGATTTTAAATGATCCAAATTTCTGGAAATTTTTCATGTAACTGATGTATGGGTCATGTGCGCAATTTGTAACATTACTTAAACGTTGCTCTTTTCAACCAACTATGTGCAGCTCGCTGGTGAGAAAATGCCAGTTCCAAAACAGTTAAGCTTTGGAGAAAGAGTGAAGGAGCTTTCGCATTGTTTACTGAAACAACAACAAAAAATAGAAATAAATCAACTTAATATATAAACTTAAATATATTTCTGAGTTAATAAATTTACCAGCTTCACATATCGTGAATGATTTCTCCAGTGTAGTATGACTCAGGCTAAAAAGCCCTTAAGGAAAAGTAAGTAAAATCACGCTAAAATTACTTCACAATCTTTCCACTCCTGTGATTTTCCCACTACAATCTTTGTCAGTTATCATACGTCAGAATCAAGCTCTCTTTGGCTGCGATTAAAATACAGTGAAAACATTAAAAGGAACAGCTTAGTCAAAAAAGGTAATGTTGAGCTAACAATGAACGAAAACTAGCTTCTACTACCTTCCATTAGCCACACTAGCACTATTCCTTTAAGCTTACAGTGCTGATCCTCATAAAGGCTTTTTGGAGTTGCTTTTGCGCTCCGGCCCACAGTAGTTCCAAACCTGGAACAGTTTAATTGCCTTAATTCTCAGCTGGAGCTTCTACAGCAGTCCAGAAATTCCAGAACCTTTTTTTGGAATGCTCTACATGCTCCGGAATAGTTTGAACATTCTAGAGTCTGACGGAATCAAAGTCTTGTCCTTGACTGAAGTGACCAGAAAGGTGGATGCTTGTATTGTCTGAATGCAGAAGTTCACTCAAAAAAGCTTACACTAATGAAAATGAGCAGCCACCAATTAGCAACATGCAAGCGACACTGCTAATTGGTGGCTCCTGGCTTCCAATGACTGTTAACTGCATTAAAGTTATTCCATTAGTTCCTGGTTATGTAGTCAGCAGAGTGGTCAGTCTTTCTTCAGCTCCGATGTCTGGTACGGGTGACCAGGGCCGGGGGTCACAGCCAGATTCTCGTGGTTCATTGGTGGTAGTGCTGCAGGTGCCACGCCGTCGTTGTTTACGAGTGCTCCATAGGAGAAAGAGCCGTTGTAGTCCGGCTGAACAGCCCAGCCTTTCTCATGAATGGTTGGAATACCTGTGTCAACGACAACGACAAGGAAATTATATACTACACCAGAATCAGAATCACATTATTTCACCAAGTATGTTGCCCATACTGGGAATTTGTCTTGTTGAGTGACACAAGTATGACATATAACACACTAAACAGACTGGACAAGAAAAGAACAAATAAAATAAAAATACAGTCAACAGATTAGAGTAATAAAGGGCCATTGTGAAAGTGTGAATGTCTGTACATATGCAGATATGAATACCTATTCATATGTAGGACTGAGTAATGTATAATGTAATAACTGTTATATACAGACTTTTACAGATTGATATACATTTGTAAGATGAACATTTGTACATTTCAAATAAGTATTAAGCTACAGAAGAGCTATACTGTAATATGGTAGGGAGTTTGCTAGGCTCAGTTTAATCCAGTGTGGTTAACAAAGTATAATACAGTATAGTATACACAATATGGACAAAATATTGGGACCCCTCCTTATTACTGAGCTCAGGTGCACTGTCCAAAGATACCACCTCTGCCACAAGTCAGTTTGTGAAATTTCTGTCCTGCTAGATCTGCCTCAGTCATACTGTGAAATGGAAGTGTCTAAGAGCAACAACAGCTCAGCCATGAAGCGGTAGACCACACAAACTCACAGAGTGGGGCTGCCGAGTTTTTCAGGGGTTGACCCAGACCCCTTAGTTCCAGTGAAGGGAAATCTTAATTCTTCAGCAGAACAAGAAATATTCGGACAATTCTATGCGGCCAACTTTGTTGGAAATGTTTGGGGAAGGCCCTGTTCTGGATTTAGAATGGGATTTAGAAAAGCTCCTGTAAGTGTAATGTGTAGGCGTCCCAATATTTTTGTCCAATGTATGTTGGTATTATCATTTTTTCCCCATGTAGTTTCCCTCTGCACTCCTTCCCTAAATGTGTTGTTTCATTGGTCTAGAAATGTGCTAAACTAGGCCTGTGCCATAAAACAATAACAATTATTTTTGAAATCAAACATTTTTCCAAGAGCGCTGATGCGCCTTTGTTTTCAAAAAGGAAAAAAAAAGAAAAAAAAAAAAGATTGTCATTCTGTTCCTCAATGTGGTATTAGTGGCAAAGGCTTGAATTTTCAACAACTGCCACTTCAGTACACTAGGTAGCACTATGCGCCTTTCGTTCTCTAGACAGAGTGGTAGAAGTCTACCCATTCACTAACGACAGCACAAACCACAAGGCTTATCCTGGTATAATAGACAAAATTAGCTAGCTACATATGAAAAATAGATATATGAAATGTACAGTTGTATGCAAAAGTTTGGGTGCCCCTGGACGAATTACGTGTATTGTTAAAAATAAGTGGAAATGAGTTAACATGTCCTCACAACTGTGCATTTTAATACACATACTGTATAAAAAATAAAAACGTAAAACTCAGGCCTGTGCAGCAGTTGGGGCACCATTTTTTTTCCCAAAAACCTCAAATAAATAGAAATTATGCACTAAAAGTAACAGAAAAATGTCACATTTAAGTTGAACGAACTGTGAAAAGTAGTAAAACTGCTAAGAAATGCACAAAATTATAGAGAGTTAAGAAAGCAGTTTCTGTCAGTCGAATGTTACTGCACTGTTATGAGTAGCTGTTTGGCACCTTTCACCATGTCCATGGTCACGTAAGGCTCAAATGCTTTGGCTTTCTTCTTGTTTTTGGTGATTAAGAACACTCCAAGGAAGCACACAGCACATCTGGGGAAAGAACCAAGCAAAATTAAGCTTACGCTAGTCATTTACAGACTCAGCTTAGAGTTCAGAATATCACACATTTCTTACTAACCCCAGCAGAAACATGCAGATGTGCAAGATATCCTCGTGGTTGAACTCCAGATAGAATATGGCTCCTAATTAAATTAAAAAAAAAGAAAAAAGAAAATTTACATCATGACCAAAAAAATCATTAATTCTTTATTTATATATCACCTTTTGTATGAGCAATTGTAATTCAAATTGTTTTAGAAGTGGACACACAGTTCAAGATAACCTGAGAGAATAAAGAAAACAGCTCAAGTTGTGAGACTATAAAAACAAAAGTAAAATAAAAGCTGTTGGGATTTGCAATATTATGTTAGCACGAAGCTATTGCAGCAGCACATGGACATATTCTGGCAGTTCTATATGGACACTGAACACATATGTTTACATGCGTTACATATATCTGAGCTTATATATCAGTTTTACAGTGACTCTTCCAGAGTTCTGCATAGAGCTGCCGCCGCTGTTTTCCATTCCTTACAACTCACCGGAACCTGCTTAGACTGTGACTCATATTCACAGTCACTGACATATCTAGAACTTCCAGAAGGCCTAGACTGATGTTTTTTCACTTGAAATTGGTCCCACTATAAATCTAAGTGTGGTTGGTTGATTGCTCTGTTACTTTCTAATTATGTTGGTAGTCAATCTAACGTGTAAGGCCTTCAGTCCAGCTCCTTAAGTCCTAACCAATGGGAGAGCTCGCTTGGCTGTATCTACCTAGATACCACAGAGAAAACAACCCTGATTGGAAAATATTCCGTTGGGTGTTTTAGGATCTTAACCAATTTGATTTCAATCAAAACTTAATGAAATAAGAGTATTACTATAGCACTTGAAAGTTTCTTTAAACGGAAGCTTTCCCGAAGGTTCCTCACTGGTGTTACCTGCAGCAACAGCAAACACTGTGGAGAAGATGTAGTTGATGCAGGCGATGAGGGAGGAATCATACAAATGGGAAGCTTGTGCTAGAAATCTGGAAAAAAACAGAAAAACAAATAAATAAATAAACCAACATCTATCAGACGTGTCACGAAACTCAGGGAAATGGGGGACTGATCACAGCCATATTTAGACCAGAGGAAATGTCCCAAAACTCATCTTAAATCTAGTCTTGGGCTTGATGGGGACTCTGGTTAATCTGTGCTCAAGCTTTGAATCATACATAATGTTGATATATCCGAGTGGAATTTTGCACCGAGCCAATCAAATGATGTGAGAAACCATCAGAGGCAGAAGTCCTCAAAAATATTTCATTCTAGTGAAAAAATTTTAGATGGCTGCTGCTGTTTTTAGCTATATAACACGTGTTCACACAGCACGTAAAAGTGGCCCAAATCTGATCTTTTCCTTCAGATGTGACCTGTGTGTTATCTGTATGTCAGTGTAAACAGCAACAAACACACTGAATCTGACATTTTCAATTCCGATTTGAGACGCTTTCATATGTGGTACTGAAATCTTTACGTCAATCTAACTCGACATTTGTCATAATTTTGCGCTGACGGGAACTTGTAATCATTTGAGGTGATGTTTCTGTACGAAAAATTTGTAAGAGACTCATCCTCTGTGTTCAAAGAGATATTGAAAGAAATGACTGAATGCGGCCATAGGAGAACGAGGCTGCAGCGTCAAACAACAGTTAAAAGTCTGAAAGTTTAAAGAATCCGAGCACGCGAACCAAAGAAGTGACTGAGCCCTTTTACGGCGAGCTTGAGCCCATTCTGGGTGATGAGCCCAGCTGTCAGTCAGTGAAGCTTCATGTTCGCTCCTGTGATGCTGGCAAAGATGAAACTGAGCAGACTGGCGCTGGTTGACGGTCATGACTGTACACCTCTGGAAGAGCCACGTAAAGCTATGTGAAGCATTGTTCTCTTGCGCATGCGGGTCAGTTTAGGAGTGTGGCCTTTCACATATAGGTCATATTTAAAAGATATTGTGAAAAGCCAAACAAAAACATCAGATTTGGTGAGAAAATCAGGTTTGGGCCGCTTTTACCTGTTGTGTGAACGTAGCCTTAGAGATGCTGGACGGCTCTACGTGCTTTGAGGTGAGTGTATAATGATTTAGGCCTGCAGTCAGCTCCATGCTAATTGGTAAGTTATCAGCTTCCATTATTATTTAGCTACATTAGCCTTATAGCTCCAGTGCAAAACTAAAGATGCTAAAAAACTAAAAACACAACATTTCTTTGAATGCAAAGAGAAAGGATGAACTCACGATGCTTGAAAAATGATAGTGGCCACCATGCAGACAAACATGACGTAGAAGATGGGGTAGCTGAGCTGGAGTGACCCCTGAATGCTGAGGACCACCATACCAGACACTGCCTTCACTGTGATCACCGTCACAGAACCTAAAGGGCAAAGATCAGAGGGTTGTTACGATAACACAAGGAAAAGGGAGTCCAGTTCACCTTTTATTAGTAATACAATATTATAATAACTCAGGAACTAAGAGTTCTTAGTCTTTGGCTGCACAAAATTTAAAATACTGTATTCATCTGTGTATTGTGAGATTAACTCATCTTAAAGTATTTTCTGTAATAACAGCAAATTACTGTGAGGCTGATGTTGAGCTGCACTGCACAGCATGATGGGATGTGACAGCAACTGATTTAAAAATGTGTAAACAATTGAATAAAACCAATTTTAGATGTTTTTATTCTTACAATTCTGGTACTGGTGTTTTAACAACTATAAAGGTTTTGCCTTTTAATGTTTAAATACTGCAACACAATATAAAAAGTTTGTTTATTGATGTTGCCAGGTGTGAGTTTTTGGTCATGTTTGTGAAAATGATAAGCAAAGTTAAACAAATAGGTGCAAAACACTAAAAACATAGTGTTCATTGATTTTTCCATTTTACTTATTTTAAATATAACATATAAGTCTGGTAAAATGAAAAGTCAATTTATAATATGTAAATTCACCATAAATTACAGTTATTAGTGTACATTAATCTCAGCTTATTACTGTAAGTGTACAGCAGCATGCAGGTACATCACAGTAATCTTTAGACATATACTTACATTAATGTTAATTACTCTTAATATGGAATAGTAAATTATTATGAAAGTAATGCAACTAGTAGCGCACAATTTACTGTAATTTTACAGGATAATGACATTAATGCAAATAATATCATCCTTAAGGACTGAAATGTAAGAAAGGCCCATATCTCCAAAATGCTACCATTATAAGAGAAGTGCTCTTAATATATGCTAATGTAATTTAAAGTTGGCTTTTCAAAATTTCTATTTATCCATTTGTGAAGAAATGTTCACATAATGCAAGACAGCTGTCGCTTTCAAACTTTGAGAGGAAAAAATAAATAAAAACTGAAAAACAAAACAAAACAACAAAAAAACAAGGTTTTCTTATGATTAATAACAGATAAAAGCTAAAGTTAAAGGGACACTTTGAGCAAAACAAAAAAATAACTACCACAAAATCAGTTGTAAACAAGCCTGCTCTCCTACTACAACAGTGCTGCAGTAGTCTCTAGAGTGAGATTTTCCAGATTAAAGAAAAAACCCTTTTGATGATGCGTCTTGAAGGTGGGAGGAACTTTTGAGGTGGACAACTCCACACAGTTACTAAGTCTATTAGACTCTATTAAAGATCACTCCACTTGGTTTGAGGTGGGTGTGTAATGATTTAGGCTTGCAGTTAACACCATGCTAATTGGTGGGGTATCAGCTTCCATTACTTTTTAGCTACATTAGCCTCATAGCTCCAGTGCAAAGCTACTGCGGATACTTGAGGGAAAAAACAGAATGTTCTCCCCATTGGCTGGCTAAAGTAGAAGGAAGCCAAATGTAATGAATGTACATTAGCCTCTACATCTGTGGCTATACTAGCAGCCTGCATGTCTTTATCTCTGTGAGTGGATTCTGAATGGATGAGCTTATTTGTACAATGCATGCTGGGTATTGTATTTTAGGTTGGAACGCCCCTTTAACATAATGCACACTCAAACATGCTTACTGATCCTCAACAACTCCTCACTTATTTTGTGAAATGACTATTTATTGTGAATATTTTATAAAACCATGAAACGGTCACATGTGACAGTAAAGAATATCCTCACCCAGCAGCGCCACCAGCAGCAGAATGAGCACGAGGTAGTTAGCATTGCGTTGTTTATAGAAATACAGAATCAGGCAGAAGGTGATGATCTCCAGCAGCTGATAAACAGAAAAAAATACTTTATTTTAGTGAATTTAAAAAAATAAATAAATACATTTTGTTAGTTTTAATATGTTACCTTTTTCACACTGCAGGAAGCATGTTCATTTGTATCATTTTATTTTATTATTTTGTACTGTCTGTAGCACGAACTGAAGTCTCACCAGGTACAGGAGGAAAGGCCACCCAATCAGATGCTTCACGATGTTTTCTGCGTTCAGTTTCTCATGAGAGTTCGGACCAAACGTCACGAAAAGGTACGTGCCCCCGACGGTCAAGGCACAACCAAGGAATGATAAAATGTAGCGCTCTGAAAACACAAGAAAAACACCAGTCATTATGGGTAAAAAGTCTCAAACAGTCCATCCCATCATAGCTCTTTTATTCAAAGGAATCCCACTTACCTCAAATGTATTCAATCAGGCAAGACGTGTTTAGTGCACTGGAGCTACGAGGCTAATATTGCTAGCATCTGAAGTAACAGAAGCTTAGCATGGTGCTAACTGTGGGTCTAAGATATCACACACACCCTTCTCAAACTATGTGAAGCTGTTCAGTATCTCTAAACATTTGTAATTAGAATTAATTATTTGGTTTCTGACACTGTATGACTCTCTGTTATCTATAAACCTGGAGCGAAGTACGTGAGCATAGCTAGCATCTTGAAGCCTGAATTGTGTCTGTACTTTAGTTCATGTTTACGGATAACAGTGAGTCATACAGTGTCAGAATAAACAGAATCATGTCTATTAGAGATACTGAACAACTTCACACAGTTTGATGTGGATGTGTGATAATTTGGGCCTGCAGTTAACATGCTATGCTCTTTCCATAAGCTTCCAATTCTTGCTAGCTAAATTAGCTTTGTAGCTCCAGTGCAAAACAAACTAACTTCAAGCACTAATCATGTTCTTAATCGACTACATTTGGAGTGGGTGTAAATTTGAGTGGATGTACATTTTTTTGGTGTAAAGTAGATTTTTACTAAACAAGGACTGCTGCAGATTCCAAAACAGCCATTAAAACAAATGTTTTTGGCTAATAAACTCAGAGCTAATGGCTATGGCTGTGTTTCAGCACTTAAATGGACATCCCTCCATCCACTGTACCACTGCAGTGTAGCTCAAAGTGATAGTCGTGGCATTTGCATCCACTTACAGCATCATTTACATGTTGTTTGAGTGAATTACACTGTGGAAAGCTGAAGGACTTACTCAAAAACTCCTGTGGCTTCCATTTCTCTCTCAAAAACAGGAATCCTAGAATGCAGCTAGCTGTGAAGAGAATTGTTCAAAAATGTTACATTAATGTCAATGTGGGCTTTTATTGGTAATGCATCACTTAATAAGTAAGTGGTCTACAATGCTCTATAATGTTAACATGATCCATCAACAGTCATTCTGACAGTTTCAGTAACCACTATTCAGTATCTACCATGAAATCCAGCAACCACTACAAATTATTCAGTATCTACTGTAAACTATTCAGTAACTACTATGAATTATTCAGTATCTACTACAAATTATTCAGTATCCACTATGAAGTATTCAGTACCTACCATAAATTCAGTAACCCTTATAAATTATTCAGTGTCTACTGTAAATTATTCAGCATCCACTATGAATGATTCAGTATCCACTATGATTTTTTCTTTAACTACTATAAATTATTCAGTATCCACCATGAAGTATTCAGTACCTACCATAAATTCAGTAACCTTATGAATGATTCAGTATCTACTGTAAATTATTCAGCATCCACTATGAATTAGTCAGTGTCTACCATAAATTATTCAGTAACCACTATAAACTATTCAGTATCTACTTTGAATTATTCAGTATTTACTACAAATCATTCAGTAACTATTATGAATTACTCAGTAGGTACTTTAAATTATTCAGTACCAATGTTAAAATATTCAGTAACTACTTTGTATCACACCAAAAAAAAGTTGCTTAAAGTTTGCTTTGAATGTACATGATTCAAATATGTACACTGACTCAACACAAATGAAATGTCACATGTACATAAGTAATTTAACTTAATTTAAATTGGTGTAATATATTTCATTTGTGTGGAACCGATGTACAAATTTAAATCTTGTAAATTTAACAACTTTTTTCAGTGCATTTATTAAACACTGCAGCAATATATCACTCACCTATGACAGAGACCGCGCTGAGAGGGGCTATGAGAGAGAGGGGGGCGAAGGCATATGACACAAACAGCATCCCCTCGCCCACCAGCATCAGCAGGAACCCACTCCACCATGTCTTCGTCCGGTAGAAGTGCCGCGGATCTTTAGTGCCCGCCAGCACCACATGGCTGCGTTTCTGTGCAAGTAATAAAGAGGGAGGGAGGGAGAGGGGGAGAGGGGGAGAGAAAGAGAAAGAGAAGAGAGAGAGAGAGAGAGAGAGAGAGAGAGAAGGAAGGAAAAACAGATTCAGTTTTATGAGAATCGAGCACCAGCAACTTTTCATCTTCTAATAATATTACGAACGTGTAGAGGTGGCCAAATGACGATATTTAATCACTACTGCAATAAATTCTGTTACTGTGATAAGCGGTAAACTTTTCTGAGCACATTGTAGTTAAAGGGCCCACTTCTACTTTTTTAATTTTATTCTTTTCTTTGAGGTCTACTTATGTTGTTTCTGTGGTGTTATGTACCAAAAACAGTCTTTATTCACTTCTACATGACCATTTTCCAACCTCTCTTTATCCCTTATAGTTAAACACACTGTTTTGTTACTGTTACTGTGCCTTTAAGACTAAAATATGTAAATGAATGAGCTCTGTTCTGATTGGCTGCTCTGTATTGTGCCTCATTCAAAAAGCAGTCCATGCTGAAACACTCCTTATAGCTTCAGTGTGAATAGACGGGGCTAAACTGGACTGAACTGTATGCACTGGAGAGCAAATGGTGGTTTGAAACTTTGCCACTGTTTATATATTAAAATTAAAAGTGAGGAAATTGTGTTTTTCTATGATACGGAATGTTAAACACCTGTATACAGAGAGAGCATAACTAGGATTTAGTGCAGTGTTAAACAGGCCTAACAGGTGAACTAAAATAACTGTATTCATAGTTTTAATAGCTCTTATTTAAATGTGACACTATTAGTGTATTGTGTCTGTGTGTCAAAATATCATGATATATATCGCATATAAAATTTGTGTATTGTTTTTTTAGTGTATTTTTTAAATATTCATGATTGGTGGTGAAATTTAAGATTTCATTACGGTTTCATAAAGAGTCATTGTGAGGTGAGAGATCTGCAGCCCTGCAATTCAAATAAAAGAACCAAAACACTAAACTGATCAGCCCCACCCACTAACCTTTATTTTCCTTTCCGCGTAATGTCATGACTGAGGGTGTGCCCGAGGACACGCCTGGAAAACACATTGTTTGAAAGCACGTCACCTCATCACCCACCTGTATGCTCACTGAGATGCTGATGAGCAAGTTTCCAAAGATAGCCAGCAATGTGCCAATGAGGTTCTCCTGTGTGCCAAACGACAGTAAACACAAAAAAACAGACCAAACTGAACAGAAATGCTTTAATAATATTCAAAGACACTTAATATGACTGTAAGCAACACTGAGGCCCTTATGTGGGCTATCTGAAAGTAAAAGTGAGAGAGGGAGTGGCTTACAAGTTTTCCTTCAGCAGGTATTTGTATATACAAAATCACAAGCAGAACTCCACTATACATGCTTATGTTCTAACTACGTCACTTGGCTAGTGTGTACACTGGTGGTCAGAGTTCTCGCTGGAACATTAACCACTCTTAAGACATGGTCGAAGTTGTAAACACTACATCAGTGCTCTTGTTAAGGAGGAATTCCACTGATTTTTAATAGTGCCTCCAGAATTTAGAGTGATTCAGAGTGGTTTGGTGTGAAATGGTTCTGATTTCTTTACAATGGTGGTGATAGGAACCAGGGATCGCCATGACAACAACACAAATATAGACATTTTATTTACGTTTATGTTGATGATGGTAAAATAGTGGAAAATCTGAAATAATATGTTTTCTTTGGGGACTATTTTGCCTCACAACACCCTGCATGTTATGTATCCCTCCACCATGAATGGATTTTAAGCCAAAATCTTCTTAAAATAATCATAAAACAGTGTCTCAGTCATCAGACGATGTATTTATAACCATTTCATGTAATAACTTTCTGTGAGGGAGCTTTTAGATGTTGACGTCTGGTTCTTATCACCACTACTGTGAACAATTCTGACTCGGTAAGTTTCTCTAGAATGGAGCATTTCATACCAAACCACTCTGAACAACTCTGTTTACATCTGAATCACTTAATTATGCAGATAATTGTGAAAAGTCATTGGAATTCCTTTTTAACACACACACTAACTAAAAGTTTCGTACCCAGTCTTGCTACTGACCTACACTAACATAAGAGTTATAGTGACAATATGAACAAAAGTCTATGCACTAGGCAAGGGTTCTAGTTATAATGCTCTGTTTTTTACTTGTTACACTGATTATAACAACTAACTAACTAACCAATCAACTAAGTATAAGTGTTCTATTTACGACCGTAGCTATAACAACAGTTCTGTGCACTGGTGATGTTCTAGCATGCTGCTTTGTAAACATCAGGAAACAGTGTTAACAACTGCATGCCCCACAAAGCTAGGGTACATATCCGTACACTCACAGTCTAAAAGTTTGAAAATATTTCCCTATTAACAAGCACATTCTGTCCCAATTCTCACTTTACAGTAGAAAGGGGCACGCACGAGTACCCTCGATGCAGTGTGGCCAATCAAATGTGTTTGTTCAACATTGCTTTTGTTAGTTAAAATTGGTTTATTAAATTAACTTGTCATTGGGTTGTGTTGTGCTTGGAATCTGAGTTGTGCCATTGTGGTTATGCAAATCAGCTCATATTTAGGAAAGAAAAAAACATTATATCATGATCCTCTGTTCCAAACATATGTCCACATGCTGCTGAGGTCACCAAAGGGGCTTAGGACGCCATTTGGGACAAGTCTCAAGTGCAAGTGCTCTAGTCTGAATTCTAGACAGACAGTAAACTAAAGCTGTGTCCAAAACTGTGCCCTATTCACTATATAGTGCACTATTTTGGGGTTCCGCTATTTTGTAATGGTATCCGAAAAAGTGCAGAAGATCTAGTGCACTTAAACAGCCCCACAATGCACCGCAATAAGAAGTTTACAAAAGATATACCCTACCCTAATGTAGATACACATTATGCACTGTGTTGTAAGTAATAAGCAAACCTGTATAACATTATTGTACAAAATCGTTTATTACCATCCAATTAATTCTGTTCCCTATAATAGAGTTCTATATAGTGAGCCAGATTTTCAAATGTAGCATATAGCAACATATTAAATATTGAAATGGAGAAAAAATATATGCCCATTTTGAATTTGATGCCAGTATCTCAACTTTTTTGGAAACGGCACTGTACTTAGAACACTAGCTGGAACACTAGTTAGAGCACTAGTGAAATGAACAGAGTCTGTATTTTGGGGCTACACTAACTATTGAGTGCTGGAGTCTATAACAAATCTCTAGCTTTTTAACCATCTAAACCCTGTTTTCATAATCACAGGTGAAGCTAGTGTCCAGCTGTAGAGGTGTTTAAAGGTGTGTAGAGGAGTTTAGAGGTGTAGGTTAGCCTCTAAGAGTCCGGCTGTGTGAATGTAAACAGTGTAAATGGAGACGCAGTGTAGGAGGATTCTCTGTGTTTAAAGGTGTGTATAGGTGTTTAGAGCTGTATAAGGTGTTTAGAGGTGCATAAAGGTATATAAAGGTGTATATATGTGTAGGTTAGTCTCCGGCTGTGAGAATGTAAAGAGTGTAAACACAGACTCACAGTGCAGGAAGATTCTCTGTGTTTAAAGGTGTTTAGAGGTGTGCAGAGTTGTATAAAATGTATGTAAAGGTGTAGTCTAGTCTCCAGCTGTGTGAATGTAAACAGAGTAAACACAGACTCACAGTGTAGGAGGATTCTCTGTGTATAAAGGTGTATAAACGTGTAGGTTAGTCTCCAGCTGTATGGATGTAAAGAGTGTAAACACAGACTCACAGTGTAGGAGGATTCTCTGTGTATAAAGGTGTAGAAAGGTGTAGAAAGGTGTAGGTTAGTCTCCGGCAGTGTGAATGTAAACAGTGTAAACACAGACTCACAGTGTAGAATGATTCTCTGTGCATAAAGCTGTACAAAGGTGTTTAAAGGTGTGTAAAGGTGTAGGTTAGTCTCCGGCTGCGTGAATGTAAATAGTGTAAACAGTGTAAAGAGTGTAAACACAGACTCACAGTGTAGGAGGATTCTCTGTGTATAAAGGTGTATAAAAGTGTGTAAAGGTGTAGGTTAGTCTCCAGCTGTATGAATGTAAACAGTGTAAACACAGACTCACAGTGTAGGAGGATTCTCTGAGTATAAAGGTGTATAAAAGTGTGTAAAGGTGTAGGTTAGTCTCCAGCTGTATGAATGTAAACAGAGTAAACACAGACTCACAGTGTAGGAGGATTCTCTGTGTATAAAGGTGTATAAACGTGTAGGTTAGTCTCCAGCTGTATGGATGTAAAGAGTGTAAACACAGACTCACAGTGTAGGAGGATTCTCTGTGTATAAAGGTGTAGAAAGGTGTAGAAAGGTGTAGGTTAGTCTCCGGCAGTGTGAATGTAAACAGTGTAAACACAGACTCACAGTGTAGGAGGATTCTCTGTGTATAAAGGTGTATAAAGGTGTAGGTTAGTCTCCGGCAGTGTGAATGTAAAGAGTGTAAACACAGACTCACAGTGTAGGAGGATTCTCTGTGTATAAAGGTGTATAAAGGTGTAGGTTAGTCTCCGGCTGTGTGAATGTAAAGAGTGTAAAAACAGACTCACAGTGTAGGAGGATTCTCGGTCTCGGTCAGTCTGAGTGAAACTCACTCCTTCCATTTTTACCGAACAGTCCGAAGCCGCTGAAGCCGCTGAACCGAGCTAATAGTTTCAGGTGTCAGATCCTCATTTCTCTAAAACCCTTTAGTGACTATAAGCCGCCAATTTCTCTCGGTTTATCCGGTTTATCCTCTCTTGGCGCTGCTCGCCATCTTCCACAAACACTTCCGCTTTCGTCTGCCGCAGGTGACGTGTTGCGCACGAGCTGCCCGGCTTACGTCGCACTGCGCCGTATTTAATATGCATTTATGTTGACGTAGTTCTTCTCTCATATAAACCTCAGCGCCTTTATTGTGAGTAACATTAATGAAACGTATTAGTTAATGTGGAAACGTGTATTATTTGCTCTTTTGGAAAATCACAGAGACTATATAATGAATAACTGTTAATGGCTAAATTTGACATTCATAAATGGAAAATCTTAAGGAAATGTAACATTAAACTGATCTAAGTCAGCTCTCTGTAGAACAAAAAGCAATTAAATTTGTTAAATTGTTGCTGCATGTACTTCTCCTGGTGTGCTGTGCAATAAAAAAGTGGTAGGTAAAAGATATGAGTTTTATTATTATTGTTGTTGTTGTTGTTGTTGTGGTTGTTGTTGTTGTCGTCGTTGCTGTTGTTAAGTGGTTCAGTATATATTTAGTCTGCGGTAATCATTCACATGAATTTAAGATGACTGTATGCTGTTTTCTTCTCAATGCATACTTTTCATTTAACATAGTTACATTAATATTACATCTTGATACCGGTGACAGTTCTGAACTCCTGTGCAGACACTACAGGACGGGCCGCTAATATGTAGATAAATTCGGATATGTGTGTATCAGCGTATATATCAAACACGTGGTTGTGCTTGTAGACTCCAGCAGGTGGCAGCAAAGAGCTTTTAAACTTCAGCCTCGCAGCAGCCGCTTCTTTTTCATGCGTTTTCTTTTCCGTTGTTTTTAATCTCCGCATCACAGCCTCGTGAGCGTGTTTGTGTTTGTACATATATTACTACCTGTACATGTATTACTTACACATATATAATACATATGGAGCACGTTATTATTACGTATGAATGCTTCCACATATATAATACATATGGGGCATATTATTATTATTATTATTACATACAAATACTTCCACATATATAATACATATATGCTTACATATGTAATACAAATGGGCAAATTATTATTACATATCTAATATTTAAGGGGCACATTATTATTACATAAAGGTGTTTTATATATATGTAATATATATGGAGCATGTTATTATTACATATAGATACTTCCATGTATATAATACATATGGAACATTGTTACATAAAGGTACTTACACATATATAATACATATGGGGAATATTATTACTACATAAAAGTACTTACATATGTAATATAAATGGGATATACTCTATTACATGTAAACTATACCTGACCCTACTTCCTGACACAGCAGAAAAACAAATCTGTGCGCATGTGCAGGCCTATTTTATTTGCCGAAATAACAGAAAAACAGTGGCAAATTCTTTTGTTTGATAAATGGAAACAGATAAATTGCTTTAGAGGATCAGCCACATCAACCAAATCTCAAAATCACACACATCAGATGCGCAGTCATGACCTAATCTTACATGTGTCCTCTGCGTAAGAATATAGACAAGTGCTTTCTGAAAGAATAGAGATTCTGTGGCCTGGCTTTAAATGTAAACTCCACTATTACCAGATTCTGTCTTTTTTGGTTTTCAAACTCACTGATGACCATACAAATGTCTGAAACCAGTACCAAGATTAGCTTTGTTTAATCTGCTGTCAGAAACAAATGGCAATTTTTGCTCAAATTATATTTCTCAAACACGTTTGCTCATGGAAATCCAAGTGTTTAAGTGTTTGATCATCCATTTGCGTTTTAATCTCAGTTTAAGCTCCACATGCTTAAATTTCACACCTGGTAGTTCTGCAGAGTTGTGGGATCCTCATCATGGACAACAGACTGTTTGCTCACCCAGCCTTAAAAAACCTATTTGTTTCAGTGTTAAATAGATGTAAATGATACAACTGAGTCATATTGCATTAGTTTTCAGTAAACGATAAAATAAAGCCAATTCTTGGTAGCAAACTGTTAAACATTCCTGTCTGTCACAGCTTATGTATGATACTTGGGTTCTTTGATAGGACACGCATCAAATGATGATGCATGAATCAAACAAATGTACAATATAAACATCGAGAATGAGTTCTGTCTCCATGTAAGCCAGTACAGTGCATATCTTCATATTTTAATGCTCACTCATAAACTCCTCCTCAGGAGAGCAGTGACAAATCAGTGATGAGTTGACAGCTGCGGTGCTTCAAAATATGTCTCTAATGATAATTAATCATGCTTAAGAATGGTTCCATCAGTGTATGTGAGAAGCACACCCAGACCGTCTCTCATACCGCGAGCAAAGAGGAGAGAAAGAAGAACATTCCTTCCCTTAAGGCATCTTCATGGGAGGAGTGCAGCTCTAGGGACAGATAGAAGGAAGGAATAATGTCATTTTAGAATAAGAAATGTCGTGTAAAGTCATCTGACTTTTGCTTTTGCACGTCCCTTTTTCCCAGCTGTCTGGGAACCACTTGAGGTTAAAGCAATAGTTTAGGAGAGTTTGTGCAAACTACATGCCTAAATCATACACATTTGCCTCAAACCACGTCAAGTAATTTCTTCATTATGTGGTTTCTGTCGTTGGATGACACACTGATGTCTATAAACATGGACTAAAGCAGGCATGTCAAACTGGGGACCTTCCAGTTTTGTTACCCACTTCTCTAAGAAAAGCTCCATTAGTTTGCATTGAAGTCCATGTAGTTAATAAATAATAAGCCTTAGTGTGTAATAAGCCTGAAATGTTAAGGAGTTAATGAGGCAATGTGCTGAAGTCTGCAGTGGAGGAAGGATACTAGTAATAATAAAAACAACCCTAATACTCATTTCTGTGTTCCAGCAATTCAAAACGACTCCACTCTTAACTTTGTGACAGTGCTAACTGTGTCCAACGGTTTTCTTCCACGGTAAAGCACTGATCCTCTGAGATTAGGCTGCTGGTGTAATGTAGGTCAGTGGAACCTGTCCACACCTGAGCTGATTCACTTCAGGACAAGTTGTCCTGCCTTTTAGAAGACTTTGCAACCTGCTGAAAAATAAAACCCTAGAAACCATTAAGTAAATATTTCTGGTGGTTTCATGATGTGTGTTGGCTTTTTTGATGGGCTGATTTCACAATGTAAAGGATCCTAATGGTGTAACAGGTGACCAGTAACTGATTCTGGATGCATTTGATGGTTGACCAGCACACCACCATCTAAAGGTGTGTTCCATTTAGCTCGGATGTAGTCTTAAAAAAGATAGTTCTTTAAGGGTTCTTTAATAACGAAAATTGTTCCATGTAATACCATGAGCACTCAAGGAACCCTTTGCACGTTTAAGTGATTCTTTGGAGAATATGCTGTAGATGGTACTTTATAGAACCTTTATCTAAAAAAAAAGGTTGTATATAGCAGCAAAAAGGGTTCTTCTATTGTTAAAATGTCAAGCCTGTAACAATAGAAGAATCATTTTTGATTCTATATAGAACCCTATGTAGAACATTTTCCATCAACCTGAAGAACAATTTCACCATGCAAAGAACCACTTTGAGTAGTATTGACTCCACACACCCTGTCTCATCTCCAGGCTTTTTATTTTACTGTTCTGATTTGAAACATCAGGTTATGAAAAGGTACAAATACATACTTTTCACCTGGAAAAACTTCACAATTGGACCTTAAAACCACTGTTGAACCTTTAAGGAAACATTTACATTGTTTGTACCTTGATGATTGAAAAATGTACCTGCACAGAACCTTTATATCTAACAGTGTGGTTACAATTACCCAGGTTTACGTATCATGTACACGTTTCTTTGCAAAACAAATGACGTCATTCATTTATTTAGAGAAATTAAACACTGAATAGGGTCAAATTGACCCCAAAGATAATAGGAAGGTCAAATCTATTTTGGTAGCCAGCTAGTCTGTTTTAATTGCTGGCACATTTTCTTCTAGGGAGCAAATGCCACATGTAGAACACAACAAGTCCTCATCAGCACCCAACGTGACAGCTGTTAGTTCTATTAGCTCATTGGCTCATTAGCCTCCATTACTCATCCAACATAATGAACCTACTGATTTCCCTTGGCAGTGTTTGAATAGTAAAGCATGTTTAGAAGTGTATTCTTCTGAGGGCTGCTGTATTTTTGTGCAATTCCAGTGCTGTCCCCTAAAAAGTTAAGCCTACAGCTTTAGCCAAGTCTACATTTTGGATGTTCTTTTTTCCCTGCTGTTAAACACATATTCCTTCATGAACGCTTTCGGAAATCTCAAAACTAGTCGGAATGTACATCCTTAATATACAATGCACCAAATAACAATAACAACAATTAGAGTTTAAAGAATAAAGCAGACACAAATCTGCAGTTCTGTCATTAAGTATTACCCTGTTAGTGCGGATGACCTCTGTGTTCACTCAGATAGACACTAAAAGGTAAACAAACATTGTCAGTGTGAAAGCACACGTAGATCTGCTTCCTTAAGGTGAGTTCTGCTGTTTCATGTTGCACTCACAGATTCCCTGAAACATTCCTGTCCTACTTCTACCTCTCTGGCATCTAGTAAGCATGACTTAAGCTAATGAGTTATTGGGGTCAAAGGCATTTCAAACAAGTGCACTGTTGTACACTGAGCGTTTCAGAAAACTGTTTGGATCTCAGTGTTCAGTAAATACCTTTCCCAGTTGTCCAGGAATAACCTAAGGTTAATACTTTTTCAGGCAAGTATTATTCAAAAAACATATCGCTGTTGTTGGAACAAAACCTCGTATCTCCATTTTTGTCGTTTTTCAGTTTTTGACATAATTTGAAAATACCTATTGGCCTTTAAGTATGTAATTTTTATGATGAATGGACTGAAAGCAACAGCCCAAAATGACTTGGAAATAAGTTTGGTTCCATTGACTTACATTAAAAGTAAAGTATGTTTTTTCTTTCTCCTGTAAAGTTACCACTTTGGAGATACGAGGGTCTGTTCTGACAACAGCGATATATACAAATCAAAATACATCTTCTGATATAAGATCATACACTTGCATAAGGAAGGAGAAAGTCAAAAGCAAAA